TCCACACGTGTGACCTTTAACCTGTGTGACCTTTGACCTGTTTGACCTCTCTCCACAGCTGGGGGCGGGCTCTCACCCCTCTGACCCCACCCCCCTGCCCACGTCGCCGCCCGACCTGATGGACGGCCACGCCCCCAACCCCGCCCTCCTGGAGCCCGAGATCCTCCGAGGTCACATCCCCGCGGGACACATCCCCAAACCCGTCGTCATCGCAGACTACGTCGCGTAAGTCTGAGCCCAGAAGAAGAAGAGGAGGTGGAGGAGATGAAGGAGGAGGAGGAGGTGGAGATGATGACTGGTGTTTGTGTTTGTAGGAAGTATCCGAGTATCCGTTCGGACGAGGAGCGGGAGAAGTACCGCGCCGTCTTTAACGATCAGTACGCCGAGTATCGGGAGCTCCACGCCGAGGTGCAGAGCGTCGTCCAGAGGTTCGACGAGATGGACGAGATGATGAGGAACCTGCAGAGCTCCAGACCCGGCAGCCAGATGGTGAGAAGAACCCACACCACAGCAGGTCGCGCGGAAGAGACCGGGACCTGGACCGGGACCTGGACCGGGACCTGGACCTGGACCGGGACCTGGACCGGGACCTGGACCGGGACCTGGACCGGGACCTGGACCGGGACCTGGACCGGGTCCCGCGGAGGAGACCGGGACCTGGACCACAACAACGTTCAGACAAAAAAAACGAAAAACTATCACAAAAATGTGTTAAAAATGTCCAAAAAACATAAAAATATTGATGAAAAATTATGTAAAAAAAAACCCCAAACTTATTTTTGTCTTTTGTGAGTCACAAATGTAAAATCTCCACATTTCCTTTTTTCAGGAGCAGGAGAGAATAAACAGCATCTTGGTGGAATATCAGCGCAAGAAAACAGTAAGTCTGTGTCTCTGTGTCTGTGTCTCTGTGTGTCTGTGTCTCTGTGTCTCTGTCTGTGTCTCTGTGTCTGTGTCTCTGTGTGTCTGTGTGTCTCTGTGTCTCTGTGTCTCTGTGTCTGTGTCTCTGTGTGTCTCTGTCTCTGTGTCTCTGTGTCTCTGTCTGTGTCTGTGTCTGTGTCTCTGTGTCTCTGTGTCTCTGTGTCTCTGTGTCTCTGTGTCTGTCTGTGTCTGTGTCTCTGTGTGTCTGTGTCTCTGTGTCTCTGTCTGTGTCTCTGTGTGTGTCTCTGTCTGTGTCTGTCTCGTGTCTGTCTGTGTCTCTGTGTCTGTGTCTCTGTCTCTGTGTCTCTGTCTCTGTGTCTGTGTCTCTGTGTCTGTGTCTGTGTCTCTGTGTCTGTGTCTCTGTGTCTCTGTGTGTCTGTGTCTCTGTGTCTGTGTCTCTGTGTCTGTGTCTCTGTGTCTCTGTGTCTTCGTGTCTTCGTGTCTCTGTGTCTGTGTGTGTCTGTGTCTCTGTGTGTCTGTGTCTCTGTGTCTGTGTCTCTGTGTGTGTCTGTCTGTGTCTCTGTGTGTCTGTGTCTGTGTCTCTGTGTCTGTGTCTCTGTGTCTCTGTGTCTCTGTGTCTTCGTGTCTCTGTGTGTCTGTGTCTCTGTGTGTCTGTGTCTGTGTCTCTGTGTCTCTGTGTCTGTGTCTCTGTGTCTCTGTGTCTCTGTGTCTCTGTGTCTCTGTGTGTCTGTGTCTCTGTGTGTCTCTGTGGATCTGGTCCTTCGGGTCATGACCTGAGGTGAGAGGAGGAACAGAGACTCAGCTCCTCTTCACCACAACGACCCGATACAGCGACCGCATCCCTGCCCACCTGGTTTAGCCCCAGGTCTTGGTTTAGTCCTGGTTTAGTCCTGGTTTAGTCCTGGTGTAGTCCTGGTTTAGTCCTGGTTTTAGTCCTGGTTTAGTCCTGGTTTTAGTCCTGGTTCAGTCCTGGTTTTAGTCCTGGTTCAGTCCTGGTTTTAGTCCTGGTTTAGTCCTTGTTTAGTCCTTGTTTAGTCCTGGTTTAGTCCTGGTTTAGTCCTGGTTTAGTCCTGGTTTAGTCCTGGTTTAGTCCTGGTTCAGTCCTGGTTTTAGTCCTGGTTTAGTCCTGGTCTGATGAAGCCAACAGGACGACATCATCTGCGAACAGTGTCAGGAGTAACAGATTACAAGTACCAGAGTAATCAGAGTACAAATGATGAGTAACTGTATTCAGTTACAGTTACTGTTTCAGTGAGTGGGAATTGGATTACAGTTACTTTGTTCAAATAAATGGATTAAACAGAGAACTAAACCAGGACTAAACCAGGACTAAACCAGGACTAAACCAGAACTAAACCAGGACTAAACCAGGTCTAAACCAGGTCTAAACCAGGTCTAAACCAGGACTAAACCAGGTCTAAACCAGGTCTAAACCAGGTCTAAACCAGGACTTAAACCAGGAACTAAACCAGGACTAAACCAGGTCTAAACCAGGCTAAAACCAGGACTAAACCAGGACTAAACCAGGACTACTAAACCAGGACTAAACCAGGACTAAACCAGGACTAAACCAGGTCTAAAACCAGGAGGACTAAACCAGGACTAAACCAGGCTAAACAGGACTCCAGGACTAAACCAGGACTAAAACCAGGACTAAACCAGGACTAAACCAGGACTAAACCAGGACTAAACCAGGACTAAACCAGGACTAAACCAGGACTAAACCAGGACTAAAACCAGGACTAAACCAGGACTAAAACCAGGACTAAACCAGGACTAAACCAGGAACTAAACCAGGACTAAACCAGGACTAAACCAGAACTAAACCAGGACTAAACCAGGACTAAAACCAGGACTAAAACCAGGACTAAACCAGGACTAAACCAGGACTAAACCAGGACTAAACCAGGACTAAAACCAGGACTAAACCAGGACTAAACCAGGACTAAACCAGGACTAAAACCAGGACTAAACCAGGACTAAACCAGGACTAAAACCAGGACTAAACCAGGTCTAAACCAGGACTCTAAACCAGGACTAAAACCAGGACTAAACCAGGACTAAACCAGGACTAAACCAGGACTAAACCCAGGACTAAACCAGGACTAAAACCAGGACTAAAACCAGGACTAAACCAGGACTAAACCAGGACTAAACCAGGACTAAAACCAGGAACTAAAACCCGGACTAAACCAGGTCTAAAACCAGGACTAAAACCAGGACTAAACCAGGACTAAACCAGGACTAAAACCAGGACTAAAACCAGGACTAAAACCAGGACTAAAACCAGGACTAAAACCAGGACTAAACCAGGACTAAACCAGGTCTAAAACCAGGACTAAACCAGGTCTAAACCAGGACTAAACCAGGAACTAAACCAGAACTAAACCAGGACTAAAACCAGGACTAAACCAGGACTAAAACCAGGACTAAACCAGGACTAAAACCAGGACTAAAACCAGGACTAAACCAGGACTTAACTAAAACCAGGACTAAACCAGGACTAAACCAGGGACTAAAACCAGGACTAAAACAGGACTAAACCAGGACTAAACCAGGACTAAACAGGACTAAAACCAGACTAAACTAAAAGACTAAACCAGGACTAAAACCAGGACTAAACCAGGACTAAACCAGGACTTAAACCAGGACTAAACCAGGACTCTAAACCAGGTCTAAACTAAACCAGGACTAAACCAGGACTACTAAACCAGGACTACTAAACCAGGACTAAAACCAGGACTAAACCAGGACTAAAACCAGGACTAAACCAGGACTAAACCAGGACTAAAACCAGGACTAAACCAGGACTAAACCAGGACTAAACCAGGACTAAAACCAGGACTAAACCAGGACTAAACCAGGACTAAAACCAGGACTAAAACCAGGACTAAAACCAGGACTAAACCAGGTCTAAAACCAGGACTAAACCAGGTCTAAAACCAGGACTAAACCAGAACTAAACCAGGACTAAAACCAGGACTAAACCAGGACTAAAACCAGGACTAAACCAGGTCTAAAACCAGGACTAAACCAGAACTAAACCAGGACTAAACCAGGACTAAACCAGGACTAAAACCAGGACTAAACCAGGACTAAAACCAGGACTAAAACCAGGACTAAACCAGGACTAAACCAGGACTAAACCAGGACTAAACCTAAACCAGGACTAAACCAGGACTAAACCAGGACTAAACCAGGACTAAACCAGGACTAAAACCAGGACTAAAAAACCAGACTAAACCAGGACTAAACCAGACTAAACCAGGACTAAACCTAAAAGGACTAAACCAGGACTAAACCAGGACTAAACCAGCAGGACTAAACCTAAACCAGACTAAACCAGGACTAAACCAGGACTAAACCAGGACTAAAAACTAAACCAGGACTAAAACCAGGACTAAACCAGGACTAAACCAGGACTAAAACCAGGACTAAACCAGGACTAAAACCAGGACTAAAACCAGGACTAAAACCAGGACTAAACCAGGACTAAAACCAGGACTAAACCAGGACTAAACCAGGACTAAACCAGGACTAAACCAGGACTAAACCAGGACTAAACCAGGACTAAAACCAGGACTAAACCAGGACTAAAACCAGGACTAAACCAGGACCAGGACTAAACCAGACTAAACCAGGACTAAACCAGGACTAAAACCTAAACAGGACTAAACCAGGACTAAAACCAGGACTAAACCAGGACTAAACCAGGACTAAACCAAGACTAAACCAGGACTAAAACCAGGACTAAACCAGGACTAAACCAGATCTAAACCACGTCTAAACCAAGACTAAACCAGGACTAAAACCAGGACTAAACCAGGACTAAACCAGATCTAAACCACGTCTAAACCACCTCTAAACCAAGACTAAACCAGGACTAAAACCAGGACTAAACCAGGTAAACCAGGTCTAAAACCAGGTCAGGTTTCCCACGTGGGCGTTGAAGTCCTCCAGGAGAACCACAGAGTCCCTGGTCCGTGGACTCACCGGTCCCTCCCAGGGCAGAAGGTCCCCGGTCCCCTAAACTGTAACCCGGGTCAGAGGGGTCAGGGGTCAGGGGGTCAGGGGGTCAGAGGGGTCAGGGGAGGGGTCAGGGGGGTCAGGGGGTCAGA